TGCGATAGTCGATGACTCGATGCCTCAATCGACGGAAACTTGAGACATAGAGTCATGAGTTTGGACACTGAAGACTGAATTTTCTTTTTATTAGGGGCTTCTTAGGGGGCTAGGGGACGCTAAGTTGAATCAAATATGTTTTGGAATTCGGAAAACGATTAAACGATAATCAAATATTCAATTAAATATATTTTTTAAACATAATGTGTGTGTGTGTGTGTGTGTATATATATATATATATATATAATCGGGTTAGCGGGTTGACCCATGAACACAAACATGTAACCCAACCCAACCCATGAAATAAACGGGTTGGCCAGTCGGTGGGTTGGCAGGTCAAAAATCTCAACCCAAACCCATTTATTTTCGTGTTGAGTCAGTTTCGGGTAACGGGTTGGGTCAAGGATTGCCACCCCTAGAATATATATGTATTTTCAAATATCGTTAAAAACAATTGGCAAGCTTAGTGCCTTTGTGATTTAACAATTGTCCAATCAAACTTCCGACAATTATACTATACATAAAACAAGTAAATATTCAAATTGTTGGGCTTAAAAGATTCTAATCCTGCTTATTGGGCCATCGTGACCCATTAACATGACTTTTGGGCCCAACAACAATAATAAATGTTTATTGGGCCTCTTGTGACCCAATTACATGCTTAAGAGACCCTCAATGACTTTTGCGTGCTATTGGGCCTCGGTGGCCCATTAGCATTGCTAGTAAGGTCCAAGTAAATCATATGCGAAATGGGCCAACGCGTCCTTTGTATACTCGACAGCCTTATAACAAGCGTGATTAGTAGGACATTGTGGTCCTCTTCTTCTCGTCTGTTAGGCTTACCGGATATTCAAGTAAACAAAAATTAGATCGTTAATCAAGGTTAATCAAATTCATTTGGATTAAGTGAGTAATAACAGGCGACACCAATAACTGTCAGTCGTAGTCTGTAGTTATAATCAAAGTCTCCTGGGGGGAGAGCGAAAGTTTGTGTATAGATCTATACGGGGGTGACTCCCCCACACCTCAAATATTCGCTACAGTTAGACTCGGCCAGTCTAGGGTGACAAAATCTTAAGATAAATTATGGTGTTCGCTAGAATGCCAAGACAGACGAACTAGTCATTATCATGCATGATTATAACGACTCACATAAATAAATCCAATGTTATCTGAGTAATCAAGGGATTTCAAAATCATTCGTTGTGACGGTATAACAATTCGAATCAATTATATTGTATTATCGGAAAACATCGGGTTTTTCGAGGAAATCAACACCATTCACTTGTGTTTTCAATAACTATAATGCAAAACTTCTTAGTTATACACGTTTTGAAATCATTCATGCATAAATCTATGGATCTTCACACTTTAGTATAAACAATTGTCTTTTCAGAAAATATCGAATTTTCTGGGTTTTACAAACTGCACAAAACATTTTCATAACAACCCTGCTTATGAGCTCACCAACATTCCATATGTTGACGTTTTCAAAATAACTTGTATTCTCAGGTAACAAGTAAGCTGAAGAGTAATACCAAGTATGTTAGGATGTTATGTTTTGAAAACTTTCAAACAATTTATGTTATGGAAATGTAATATTTAGACAATGTACTTGATGTGAACAATGTCAGTTGTAATGTATTAATGCATGGTGATGTTTATGTTATGTTTCATGTATATTGTGATGATATTCAATTTAAGTCACGCGAGCCCTCGGACGTTTCCCCCGTCTGGTTTGGGGGTGTGACAGTAATGTTCCCTCTATTTTTTGGATTCATTGGATGCGAAGTTTAGACTTCATAAATGACAAAAACCAAACAATGTGAGTAATTTCCCAGTATTTTATCCCAAACATTTAATCGAACGATTAGTATGCATTATGATATCCCAATAATTGGTTTCATACGACTCTAACATGCTGGTGCAACAAAACCCACAAACAAAAGAAAACAGAAAAACCATTTAATACCTCATACAATTTGAATAAAAACTTGAAAGTTTCCAATTTTACAAATAAGGAGATGATATCTTTACCATAAATGGTAGAAAAAAATTGACAATGCTGAGATGGGTTTTAGATATGAAGCTAATATGATATCCATGCTTTCATTATTCATTATTAAGGTTTTTTTAGCTCCGACTCTTCAAAATATCATCGATTCATGATTTTAGAGGCTAGATTTTTGGCAGCAAAGAACACAATAAGAAACCGTATGAAAGGAAAAATTAGGAAACTTTTGACCGATTCCTGAACGACATCTAGAATTTGAGCGGTAAAAGAAAAAAATTGTAGCCTAAGAAGATGACATTTCCATATGCTGAGGAATTTCTATTGATCGGAGTGTGGAACCCCTATGTCTCCTCTACATGCGTTCCTAAAGTACTTCTCCATTAAGGTATGTGGTGGTTTCTGATCGTAAACTAGTGAAAGAGAGACCTACTGTATGTGTAAGTCTTTAGACGTCATAAATCGTGTTCTTTCGTTGAGATGTTACCGTTTTCTTGAGCAGAGAAACATGTAGCATTGGTGGTTTTGAACACACACACACACAGAGAGAGAGAGAGAGAGAGAGAAAAGAGAGAAAGAGAGAGAGAGAGAGAGAGAGAGTGTGTGTGTGTGTGTGAGTGAGAGAGAGAGAGAGAGAGAGAAAAAGAGAAAGAGTGTGAGGAGCAGATAGATTATGGTTTCAAATTGATGAGCGACTGTTAGGGTCGGTTCTAAGGATTCAAATGCCCAGGACAAGGCGGATGAAAAAGGCCATTAGGCCTTAACGTGTAACAAATAAAATTACATAAACATAATTTGAAAATGTGATAATCAAGTAACCTATTTCTAATAAACAAATTTACAATTAACATAATCTAGTAACAATAATATGATAAAGTAGTATTTTATTGTATAAACCTTTAGACACTCATGATTTTTGAATTTCTAATAAATAATTATACAATAAACATAATTACATAAATACATAGTCTCATTCTATTAATAATTTCAGTTTCTAATAGTAATAATTTGTTTAAGAAAAAAAAAAATCAGAATCATTCATTATAATCTGATTGAATCATATTTCAGAATAAAATTAAGATTTCATAATCCGATTAGTGATAATAAACGACTAAACTAATTTCTATGATCTATGAATCTTAGAAACTGATAAGATTTCATTCATTCATGATTCAACATTCTATTATACTGGTTTGTATAGTGATAATAAACTATTAAACCGATAATCTATGAATCATTCAAGCATGCAATTGATAATTATAAACTGATATTCCTCGATTTCTCATAAATCATAATCTATTAGACTAATAACTATTACAATATTACCTAATTAGTGATTAGCAGGACTGCAGAAGATAAGATAATCGTGTAATCGATCCTTCATGTTGCTGTCTTGCTGATTGGCGACTGTTGAAAGTTGAGTCGATGTGGTTAGGTTGCTGTCGGCCTGCCCTGCTGAGTGTTGATCAATTTTTTTTGGAACGAGGAATTTGATGTTTCCAGCTTCTGTTCGTCAAATGTCAATACTCGATGCTGCCTTGTGCAGTTGTGCCTTCTCCCGTACGCGATGCTGATAGTCATGGACTAATTTGCATTTGGATTGGGCTAAATATATATATATATATATATATATATATATATATATATATATATATATATATATATATATATATATATATATATATATATATGGAAAAGTGAATATACCCTTAAGGGTATATAAGCTTAGGTACCCAAACTCACCATAATACATCGTTTTGTTTGATATATTTATTATAATGTTCTTCAACTTCAATCCTTAAGTTGATTTACATTCAAGATTTTCAAAATTTCATTATTATCTTCCTCTTACATCATATTTTTTTGACGAACATCAATTAGGCTATATATATTATAGTTGAAAATGAAAATTATATAAGAGGAAAATAAATGTGAAATTTATAAAAATCTTTGAATGAAATCAAGTTAGAAGTTTAATTATAAGAACATTAGACAATTATAATGTATATATATGATACAAAACGACGTAGTATGGTGAGTTTGGGTACCTAAGCTTATATACCCTTAAGGGTATATTCACTTTTCTCATATATATATATATATATATATATATATATATATATATATATATATATATATATATATATATATATATATATATATATATATATATATATTATTTAAAAAAAATTGGGCCCCTGAAAACTATGGCCCTGGTCAAATGCTCATCTTGCCCTTGGTCTAAACCGGACCTAGCGGTTATATCCCGATAATAACAAATGAATAATAGTTAATACAATGTCATGTGGTAAAATTAGTTTTATTTATTAGATTAGGGGATCATATTATCTTTTTAGTCTATATTATCTATCTTATCTCGTATTCTATCTTAAACCAACCGAGTTCTAGTCTTCTCTAATAATGAATGTTTTTTTTGCCACTTGTTATACTCTAATTAAATTTGTCAAATATCATTTTATGGTTATTTTGAATTAATTATTTTTTCACATGTAATTTTATGAATTTTTTTATTTTATTAAACTCCACATAATAATTTAATGTAATAATTGCAATAAATGCAGTAATAAATGAATATAATAAAGTTACATTTTAATTTTAAAATTTCTAAAATTAAAGTTTATTAGTTTTTTTCTTTATTTAAATTATTTATAAATTAAAAAGATAAAAAAAGATTTGCATTATAATAATTTATTATTTTTTATTATTCTTTTATAAATTCAAAATGATCAAATATTTTAATATTTATATTTAATTTTTTTTAAAAAAAATTTAAGTGATGTAGTAAATGAGTCTCACAATTGGTTTGATATTATATTTAATAAATTAATAGTTTTCTATTTTAATTTATATGAATTAACTTCATTACCGAACGCGGGAAAGTTGAAATCGTTCGTCATCGTCGTTCGAATAAACACCGAATTTGTCATTATTCTTCATCCTCCATTATTTTATTCAAATAAAATCAGCCCTCCCTTCTACGGTTCTACCTAATCCACTAGTTTCTCTACAAACATCACAGTCGAGTCTAACTAAAAGTCAAGCATACTTTTCATAAACAATTCCCTAAAATCTCACTTTAAAGGTCGAAAATTCCTCCACGGGTGTTAAATAACGTCAACGGAACTTACGAAGAAAGATCCGAGTTTCTGACGCCTGAAGTGAAGTGTGTTTTAGCAATTAATGGAGCTTTTGAGACCATTACACCCTCCTGTCACCATGGCCACCGACGGCTGTTCTGGGTTTTCTCCAGCGGCGAGTTCCCAAGATGGGTTTCACCTAAACAGTCCGGTGGCGGCGGATGTTTTCCGTGGTGATAAGATTTATGTGGCTGTTGGGAAGTCGGTGGAAAAGGCAGTGTCTTTGTTTCACTGGACTTTTCGGAGGTTTAGAGGTCGAGAGATTTGCGTACTTCATGTTCATCAACCTTCTCCCTTGATTCCAACACTTCGTGAGTTCAATTTCAATCCCTTTGTTCTGAATGCAAAATCAATTTTAATTTTGATATAAATTGAAGGGTAGTTATGTCTTATGTCCATAATTGGCTTATGTGTTCATGTTTTGACCCACCCAACTAACAATTGCATTGGTAGATTGATGCAGAACAATAGTTTGCTTTTTTTAAAAATTGATATGACTTCATTGCAGATTCAACCTGAAAATCTTCTTGATGTGTAGCCTTCTATACAAAGTAACTAAATTAATCACCATTTTCTTCAAAAAAAAATCTCTGATTCGCGTTGATTTTGAGTTTCAAATTTGTCCCCTTGATTTTGACATTGATATGAAGACAATGTCTTGTTGATTAGGTGAAATCAATACCTCATATCTAGTAATGTTTTGCACTTTTGGCTGTTGCTTCTAGTTGTGGTAAACAAAAAAAAAATTGGCAACGTAAAAATGATGTTGAGAATCAAATTCACTAGCCAAACAAATAACTTATATAGCACGATAACAAAATATATTTTACAACATACTTCAGGGTCAAAGAAATATCTTTTCTAAAAAAAAAACCTCAACCTTAGCAGAAACAAGTTTGACCAAGTGTAATCCATATTTTATTAACATAGACACATAGTTTAGAATTTTTAATCATCAAACCTAATGCAATATGTCATTTATCATTTTTAGTAGAATAGAAACAACATAATAAAGATAGTTTTTTCCTCTTGTAAGTACTCTTATTTTCCAAGTTTGTCACTTTTGCCAAAATTGACCAAAATCACAGCAGCATACACAATAGATCCTACTTTATTTCCAACATGGTGTTCATACACACTTGATCCTACCTTATTTCCAACATGATGTTCATCATATATCCGAAAATTCAGATATCTATCGAATACGAAAACTTTAACCAAAAAATCTACATTACTTTTGTCCTTCACATAATGAAATTGTATATGTTCTTTAATGCAGTCGGTAAACTACCTGCAACTCAAGCAAACCCTGATGTCGTGTCTGCATATAGACGAGAAGAGAAGGACCAAACAGACAAACTTCTTCTTGATTACATGAGCCTTTGCTCTCGATCAAAGGTGCCTTAAGTCCCTTCTTGATGCTCATACAACTTTTCTGATTCCATACTTCACATGTGTACATCGTATATTTATATTTAGGTTAATGCAAGCTTCGTGACCACTGAAAATGAGCAAGTTCGTAAGGGAATTTTGGATTTAGTCAACGAATATGGCGTACAGAAGCTTGTTATGGGAGCTGTGCCAGAGACGTAAGTGTTCGCTTCAAACCCTAATTTTCATGAACTGAACCTCGAAATCCTAACATTCATACACAGTTGGATGAAGGTGACGAAGAACTCAAGCAAATCAAGTTACGCTGCCAAAAACGCTCCTCCGTTTTGTCAAATTTGGTTTGTTAATAAAGGTAAACTTCTTTACACGAAAGAGCCTTCTGAATCCTACGATGTTATGCCACCATCGATTCATCAAGATTCCAACACTTTGAGATCTCAATCATTGCATTATCCCGGAATGGAAAGGGGGTTACAGCAAGTTTACCATTGTCCGAGATCGAGATCGATTAGTCCACATCGTTCACTGGTGCAGACTTCATCAGATTCTGGGTGTTCATCGTCTACTGAACATGAAGAAGAAGCTTTGTTATACAAACAGCTTGAAGAAGTCAACATGGAAGCTGAAGCATCCAGGAATGAAGCGTTTCAAGAGTTTTTAAAACGAAAACGATTAGAAGCACAAGCTTCCGAAGCAATTAGCAAGGTAATCTCTTTACGAAAAAACGGAATGTGTTGTGAGGTATCATGTTTATTGACCTTTTCAACCTTTGGTTTGATTTTTTTAGGTGAAGGCTTATGAATCTGCTTATGCGCAAGAACTTGAACTAAGAAAAGCGGCGGAGGAGACGCTAAATGGAGCAAGACGAGAGCATGAACAACTATTGGAACGAAGAGAAGTCGCAGCAAAAGAACTGCGTAAGGCGATGAGAAACATAGCGATCTTAGAGAATCAAGTACAAGAAGCAAACCGTAGACGTGAAGAATCCGCTCAAGAGTTGAAACTCATTCAGGCATCAATTACAACTCTAAAGATCGAAAAACAAACAATTCAAAGACAAAGATTTGAAGCAGCAAAGTGGCTCGATAGGTGGAAAATTCGTGAACCTGCGGGAAGTATATCTTGTACAGATGAATCTACGGCGGCGAGACCACCGGAGTTTTCGTATCTGGATTTGGAAACTGCAACTTGCGGTTTTTCTGAGAGCTTCAAGATTGGATATGAAATGTATGGTTCTTCCGTTTATAAAGGTGAAATGTCGAATAGAACAGTCGTTATAAAGAAACTGCATCCGGATAATCTGGAAGCACAATCGGAGTTTCAGCAAGAGGTTAATCTCTCTTTCTCTCTCCTTCTCTCTCTCTCACACATGATTTTGAATTTGATTTGTTCGAATGCAGGTTCGAATTGTTGGGAAACTGGATCATAAGCATATATTGAGATTAATCGGCACATGTCACGAATCATATGCCCTAGTCTACGAATACATGCCTGGAAGCCTCGAGAGTCATCTGTCCAACAAAAGCAACTCATTTTCCTGGAAAACACGAACTCGAATCATTTCCGAAATCGCAAATACTCTTTTGTTCTTGCACACTTCTCGACCCGAAGAGATCATACACGGGAATTTAACACCCAAAAACATCCTTCTTGATTCTGAACTCTCCTGTAAGCTCTGTAATTTCAGATTTTCCCCATTGGTTAACGAGGAAACATTCCGATGCCGTAGCTTTCGCCTATATGAAGAAGGGAGCGGACCTTTTTCGTTTACTGATCCGGCGGTTCTTCAAACTGGAAATTTAACAACGAAATCTGATGTCTATTCTTTTGGGATGATTATCCTATGGCTACTCACAGGTAATCAATCACCTGGGTTAAGTAATGAAGTAAGAAAAGCGGTTTCCAGTTCAAAATTGACCTCGATTTTGGATGCATCAGCCGGAGAATGGCCTAGCTTTGTGGTTAAACGGTTAGCCGATTTGGGTCTCCGGTGCACTGAATCAAACACTAGAGACCGGCCGGTGGTCTCACCGGTTCTGGTTAAAGAACTTGAACAGTTGTCTGTTCTTGAAGACCGACGGATCCCTCCTTTTTTCTTGTGTCCGATTCTAAAGGTGAGTAACTCCATCTTTTTCGTTCGATTTGAGTGTAGTGTTGTTTATGAAGCAGGATTAATGGTTTTTCTTCTGTTGTTGCAGGAAATCATGTATGATCCTCAGTTGGCAGCGGATGGTTTTACTTATGAAGGAGAAGCGTTGTGTGGGTGGTTTAAAAACGGGCGGGAAACTTCTCCGATGACAAATTTGAAACTTAGTCATTTGGATCTTACTCCGAACCATTCACTTCGAGTTGCGATTCAGGATTGGCTTTGCAATCCTTGAGTGTATTTGAGTTATTGTGGTTGTAGATATAGTTGTACCTTACGCATTGTTGGTTGTACTATTGCATAACATAGATCATGATAGTAAAAAGATGTAAAACTGGCTCGTTGCTTGAGTTGTAGTGAGGCAGTGAGCTGAATCACATATGTACATGGTAAATGAATGAGGATTTAGGTTTTTGCGTGTTACCCTTGTAGTACGATCTGCATGAATGGTTGTACTTGGTCTAGAATGCAAACCAAAATGACGTGGTATAAATATTTTTTTTTTCTTTTGAAATTATTCATAAAAACTATTATGCTTGTAACAAAAAAACAACGGGTTTTTTTGACCCGTTCGGAGCCAGATTATGAATGGGTTTCTTTACCCGGATTCCCACCGCCAAGCCCAAGAGCCTAGTTATTTTAGCCTGCATTGATTGGGCCCGACTTTTTAGGAAAGGGAATCGGACCTTGTTCAGCTCTATATAGGGGTGGCAATGAGTTTGGGTTGGATCATAAATAGGTTGAATTGAAAATCTCTTTCCAATCCAATCATTTTGAACAAACAGGTTGAAAATTTCCAACATAACCCAATCTTTTTAGTAAATGATTTGAAATCGGTTTGATTTGTTTATTGTTTTCCCGATCCAATCTATTTACTAAACAGGTTAAAAGCTAGGTTGACCCATTTAGATTTCACAAGAAATAACCCTTCAAAAATCAAATAATATATCAAATGAAATTACATACAATTTAAAAATATAATAATTGTTCAAGAAAATATTACAACACTAAATTTATTGGCCCAGTGTTTACAACCATAAAAAATTATAAATGTTTAACTTTTAAATTCTACGTAACTCAACTCACTTTTCCCAATTCGAATTCCAATAACGGTTATTGACCTATGGTTTTTGATAAACAAAAAATAATCAAAATATAATAATCAACTAAATAATAATACTAAATAAATATAAATTAAAAAATATTAAACCAACTGGTGGGTTGTAAACGGGTTATGAATTTCAACTCTAACCCAACCCATTTAATTAAATGGTTTCAAAATCTCAACCCAACCTACTATTTATTGGGTTGGATTTGGGTTGTATTGACGGATTCGAATTAGGATTGTCACGCAGTTATAACTTACAAGAAAAGAAAATGGAACGTTACACCTGTTGTAATGGAATGGAAGGGCTTGTTCAACCATAGGTGCACGTCCAAACTAGTATTTTTAGATATGGAAGACTGGATTTTTATCCATTTTGAAAATGTCTGGTTCTAATATCGGTTAAATCTGGTTTTGTGATGTAGTAAAAAGTTGTCATATTTATCTACCATTTTTACCATTTAAACGACCACTATGACTACGAAGTTGTCATATTTATCTACCATTTTTACCATTTAAACGACCACTATGACTACGAAAGACCATTTTTAAAATTAAAGGTACAAGAATATTGTTTTAACACCCCAAGTAGTTAAGATTATGAATGACAGATAGAGACATTGTATGTCATAATGAAACAATGAGTTTTGTTTATTAGGTTGTCTATGATATACCATGAAAACTGCGTTAAATTCTAACATTAGAATTAAGTTCAATCGGATTGGTCACGAGGATTCAAATATCCTCAAATGCTTAGAACGAGCTCAAAAAAATGACCCTTATTGCTATTATATATATATATAGTTTTTAAATAAATATATATACAATATATAATAAAAGAAAATTGAGCCCAAAAAAATTAGGAACTACAAGAAAATTATGCCATATGCATTTGCCCATCCCCTCTTCCCCTTTCAAGCTCATGAGTTCAATAAAACAAATTGAAGAAAACAAAATATAAGTTTTTTAACGGGATTTTTTAAAATCCATTTTCAAAGCTATTCAAAACTGGTTATATAGGATCATATATAAACAGGATAAAATCCAATTTGGATTTGACTAAGAGTTTTATTATATACATATGACTCTATTATCATATATCATTCTAAACACTTAGTTTTTTTTTTTTTTTTTTTTTTTTTTCATAATTATCTTATAATAATTATATCCATAATCATTTGGCTAACTCTTATATTTTTACTCCATTATAACCTAATTATTATTGACTTTATTATTTACATTTTTATTACTAAATTTATTAATATTATTAATTTTATACTCATTTTTAATAAGATGAAAAAGATAAAAATAATATTGTTTTAAAATATAATAATATAAAATATAAAAGAAATTCTAAATGAATTTTCATCAATTTTTTATCCTTGTTTTTAGCTGTAAACTCATAAACTTAGTATATTTTATTTGAGTAAATTACTGAAATCGTCTCTATAGTTTGGTCAAAATTACACATTTGGTCCCTAACTGTTTTTTTTTTTTTTTTTTTTTTTTTTTTTTTTTTTTGCATTCGGATCGTCCCTATGGTTTGATTTTGTTGCGTTTTTTGTTCATATGGTTTGGTCAAATTTGCACATTTCGTCCCTAACTTTATGTATGTGAGGGACGAAAAACGCAATAAAATCAAACCACATGGACGATACGAGTGCAAAAAAAGTTAGGGACCAAACATTTAATTTTGACAAACCATAGGGACCATTTCAGTAATTAACTCATTTTATTTTTTTCTATTTCCATAAACCTAATATCATTGATTGTAAAACCGAAAGAAAATACTACAATTTTAAAATATATTTCATTTTATATTAAAATCTAATAAAAAATACACATTAAAGGCACTGAAAAGACAATGGAATTGATTTTTTTTATTTAAAGGTTAAGCATAAGTTTTATATATTTTTGGTGTAAATGATAATATAATTAGATATCATATAATCGATATCCAAAACACTCGCTATCCACATAAACGGGTGTAACAACGGGTCTCGAATCTTGCCTCATGCCCCCTATTAGGTTTAATCCTAATAATATAGCCCACATTCCTTCTGACCGACCACTATTTCACCCGATTATTGATGTTGGTATATCCCACTCCGACTTTGGGGGATCCTATTCCAAAAGAAGAAAATTGGATGATATTCACAGATGTGGTTTCGCTTACTCTCTCACTCCTCGAAGATTAGTTAACGAATTCTCCTATCCCTTCCTTTCAGCTCCATTGCCTCTTCTCCCTTATTTTTCGATTTCGGTTAGTTTTCAAAACCCAAACTTCGACGTAAACATATATGCTCATTGTAATGCCTTTTTTCTGGTATGATTTTAATTCAAGTGTTTCATTTTTCCTGAAGAACTTGTCGAGCTGGAAGCCCCAAAACGATGTGTTGAAATTGTTTTGGCCACGGGATTTTATGAGGCAACTCAACGAGTTTAGGAGTCTCAACTCGACGAGTTGGCCGCTCAGGAGGAAATCTTAATTTTAGGGTGTTGCACCCTATTTAAACACCTTATGTCCCTGGTGTTGGCCTCATGTCCAGCCTCCAAAGCTCCTAACCCTAATCTCAAAACTCTAAAGCCTTTTTGAGTGTTGTGAGCCCTTTGAGAGTGTATTTTTGTGTGTTTGAAGTCCTTAGAAGAAGGAGAAGCTTGTTACAAGGTGGTGATTCAAGTTGGAGCCTTCAAGATCTTGATTCTTTGCATCATTTCTAGCATATCTCTGGTATAAAGTTCTAGCCTTGCTCAATATTTGAGTAGATCTCTTTTTGGGTTAGTTATGATGCTTTTAGCCATGCTTGGGTGATTGGTGGAGTTGAAGGTCGACCCAAGTGCTTTCCTTCCATATTTATGGTCCTCTCGAGCTCTTTTGGCATAAAGGTGCCAACTTTATGGCCTTAAGAGCTCTATGCATGCATATGGCTCCTTTTGGACATTTGAGTCTCTTCTAGGCATACTTGAGAGTAAAGTTGGAAACTTTACATGTGATTGCAACCTTTAAGGACTAGATCTATATTATGGACCTTTGTCTTGATGAATAAGTGCTTATTGTTTAAGCCTTTCCCCTTTTAAGCTTTGGGTTTGTGTTCTATACCCATTAGGATGGTTCTTAAGTGTAAAGTTGGAAAGTTTACCCTTCTAGTCGATATTTTAGTCAAGATCCGAGTGGTGGACCCTTTAGTTTTGAGAATGGTGACTTAATGGATTAAGAGGTGTGTTTCCTGAAGAACTCGACGTGTTCATAGGTGAACTCGGCAAATTGGAATGAATTTTCCCGATTCTGCTGGCTAAAGGGGAAACTCGGCAAGTTCATGGGTGAACTCGACGAATTGGACCAACTTTTCATGATTCTGTTCATTGATGAGGAAACTCGGCGAGTTGAGTTAACTCGGAATGTTGACTTTGACTATGACTTTGACCAAGTTTGACCTTTAAAGGGTTTTGAACTACTGATCAGTATCTAAGGGATTGTTTCTATTTAGGGGTTGGTCGGGATTCATTTAGTTATCATTCATTATTCGAGGTGAGTTTCATGTACTTTTGGTTCCAGAGGGAAGATCATGGGATGACTGCAATGTACACACCATTAGATTCCGCACATGATGTTTTACTCTGATTTTATGACAATTAATACATTGGTTTTTATTTGATATGATTGGATGTTATTGGAATCACTATTTTATCTATTATTAAATTGAAAATTTGGGACCATATTTTTAGATGTTACAAGTTGATATCAGAGCCTTGGTTTGAGGGATTCAGGCACACTCTCGGGAGTGTCTGAACTCAAACTAAGGACTTGGTAGAAATTTTCAAAAGAAAACATTTTTATAAAAGGATCTCCAAAAGAGAAAAGAGTGTAGCGTGGGTAATCATCTGAGCTTAAGTAAGTTATCTCAAAATACCCATGCATGTTGATATATAATATGAATTGTGAATAACATGCTAGATTAGGGCTAAGGATCTAGGAGAGATGCCTTGTATGCATGTTATATGAGCATATAGATTTGCATGCTAGTACAGATAGTCAGTGATAGGATGTCCTAATTAGGTTATGCTCAGTACTGTTTACTTGATGCTCGAATGTTGCTTGCTTTGTGATTTTAGGAGTTCTTGCTAAACTCAGCTAGTTAGTAAGCGAATATGCTAAGTTACATATTATGAAAAATAAATAATATCAGAAGGTTAGGTTTAGCTCTATTGTGCAGCTCTTGTTTGAGTTCAAACATTGTAGGGAGAGACCTCTCATTCGAAGAATTATCTAGTATTTATAATATATAATTGTATTCGTGAGATAGTTGGAGAAGGTTAGCATGAGTTCCTTTTGCAGTTGATGGTGGATAGTAGTGTGGAGTTTGCCCTAGGAAAGACTATGATGATATTTAGTGTTGAGAGC